GCCATGCCCTTTCCCTCCAGCTGAGGACTCACTCTAGCACCCCCTGGCCTCTGCCCTGGGCCACTGCAGGTATGTGCCTGCATTTCTGGAGTCAAAAGTGAATGTCTGTACACTTGCAAATTGGTTTGATCTATGCAGGTTAGACTAACCTGCAAAGATTGAATCAATTCAGGATCCAGCTTTTTGAATGTCTGTCCCTAGCCTTAAAGTACTTCATGCATAAATACTGGATTTTGTAATGTGCATGAACATATACATTAAGAAAGTTCAGAGGGTGTTACTTGTCTTGGTTTCTCTTACCAGCAAAGGGCTTACAAGGGAGGATTAATGAGAATTAATATACTAATACTCAGAAATAAAGGACGTGTCTGTTTTGCAGCAAGTGTGTTCTGGCAAGGCACTGCAAGCACAATGTGTCCACCCATTCCATGCACATTCCAAACCTGGAACTGTGTGGGGAAGATAACGCTGAGGTGTCTGCCACTCTAAAGCACCCTGGAGATCCAAGTCTTAAGAGCAAACCTGAAGGAACACAGTGAAACAGCCTCACCAAAAGATTTCCTAGTTTGGAGCTTGTGTGTTTTGTAACAGGAGGACAGAATGTGTTTGGGGTTGTCCTTGCCAAGATCCCTGGTATAGATCTACTCACTGTATATTACCTGGGAACTCAGCTCTGGTATTCCACAGGAAGTGAATGCCTGGATCCCTTAAAAATTCCAGCCTAAAATAGTGGTCAAGTATGAATTCTGTTTTAAACATCATCCTTTGACTTACCTTGAAAATAAGTGGTCCATGCTATCAGATTTGAAAATAGTTTGCCTTTCAGTTGCCTTCAGAATGCTGGGAGGAACCCTGCCTGACCCTGCAGTTTGGTGACTTTATAATTTTTTGATATCCAAGTCTGACCTGGTCTCAGTCCAGTGGAGGACTTCTTGTTCCTTTACACAGTCTATATTTGTTTCTAGCATTTGCTGCAAGGACAGAGGGAACTAATTGTAATATTTTTTGCTTTTTCAGTAAATTACTTGGTGTATGTGAATTGTGAATTTTATTGACTTTTTCACTGACCTTTCCTGTATCAGTCATTTTTGGGTTTTTTTTCCTATTCTTCTGGCACTTAACCCCACACCATGTCTATTAGTCTTTCCTATAAAGTTTTATTTTATTTATTTTATTACTGGTATCCAGTGACATTTCAGCACTTAAATTGTATGATTCAAGGAATCTCTTCCTGAATCAGTTGCTTTTTTGACCAGCACCTGGTCTTCGATGTTTTAATTCTGTCACCAGTGAATCTGAACCTTTATTTTCAGAATGGTATTTTCTAGTTCAGTTACACTAATTTGAGTCTTCTGCACTGTTTTTGAAATGCATTCAAATTTTAAAAATATTCAAAACATATAGTGTTACTACAGAACAGGACAGGCAGAAGGCAGGACTAGGAGGCACCTTAGCTTCTAGCTCAGGGGCAGGCAAAATACAGCCCGTTGGCCAGATCAGTCCTCCAAGCTATGCTATCCAGCCTGTGGGGACCCTCCAGAAAAGAATTATTACCAGGCTATAGCTTCCTCTGTGAAAGCCAAGAGGAGGTATGGGGTTTCAGAGGTCATGCACCATCAGGCTGGGCCAGGACAGCTCTGTGCTTCCCCTTCTGTGGGGCTCCCCACGCTCCAGCCGGGAGCCACAGGGAGCCAAGCACAGTTGGGCCAAGCAGTCTCCATGCTGCCATGTGCAGCTCCTGGCACTCCACCCAGAAATTGCACACCATCAGGCCAAGCTTGGGGCTCCCCGTACTGCAGCCAGGAGCTGCACACCTTCAGGCAGCACCAGCCTGGGCTGGCTCCATGCCACCATGTGGGGCTCCAAGCACTGCAGGTGGGAACTGTGCACCATTGGGCCAGTCTGGGCTTGTTCTGGGCTTTCACATGCGGCTCCATGCTAGACTGCTGGGAGCCCCACATGGAGGCACGGAGCCACTCAGCCCAATGGCACACAACTCCCTGCAGCTCCTGGCACTCTAGTGGGGAGCTGTGCGCCATCAGGTCAGGCCAGCTCTGTACCACCATGTGGGACTTCTGGCACTCCAGTGCTCTATCCAATGGGCTGGCCAGCTCTGTGCTGCCACATGAAGCTCCCAGGGCTCAAGTAGAGCACCATGGCGGGGGGCTCCACCTGCCAAGAGCCTACCAGTGGCAACTGCTACAGTCAGCAGTGCAGGCTGTGCACCATGGCTGGGTGTGTGACAAGCAGGCCCACACCCCCCCCCACATCCACAAACCCCACACCCACGCACACCCACACTCCCACAAATGTACTCAGACTCATCCTAGACCTGCTCACAGCCCCCCCACATATCTCCCCAAATCCTGACACACACACATGTATACACACACACTCCCCCCACACAAATCCCACGTCCTCCCACAAATACCCCATGCACCACACAAACACATACACACCCTGCACCCACCCCCCAACCACACCCCACACACTCCTTCACATACAATATACAAGAATAAGACTTTATTTGGAGCTATTATGCAATCTCCTGTATATACACCATGCCAATGCACATAAAGACATTTTTTTAAATAAAATTAAAATGAATGTTATGATAGATGTTGAACTTTTTAGTGTATGATTTGGTGTTTTTTCTGGTTCCAGGAAACTCTCCACCCCCCAAGAAATATTTCCAGGAGCAAGGGGAGGGGCTTTTGGTGGCTAAAGTCAGGGGTTAGGTGGGAGGACTTCAGTCCCAAGACAGCGATCAGGGAGTAGAGCATCTGTCAAGGGGAAGGGTTACCTTTGTGGCCCTCAACAGCTTACCAAAAATTAAGCAGCCTGTCAGCCAAAATAATTGCCCACCCCTGTTCTAACCCTGTCCTGCATTCTCCCTGACTTCAGGCTAGCATAGCCAGCATCTTAGAGACCATAACTAAAGATAATGGCCAAGGCAAACCCCTGCCACTCTTGCAATGCATGTCTCCTTTCCCATATGAAAGGCACCCTCTCCATTTGTTCCTTTTCCCAGACAGACAGCAAATTAGCATGTACATAGAGTCCTTGATATAGCAAACACTGAAACTTGCATTTAACTAGCAGCAAGTGATTAGTCCTGTTGACTTTGAGTTACTAAGGGTGCCTGTAGATGTGCAGGGAGACTGCTCTAACACGCTGTAATTACATCATGTCAGAACAGACTTGATTCATCGAGTCTGCTGGAATATGTTATTTAGCATGCCTCCAACAGCCTCCATATCTCATGCATCAGCGTCCCCACACTTCAAAAGGGCTGTGGGGGCGCTTCAGCTAAAGTTCTTTCAATGAGCTTTAGTTAAAGTGTTCCCACCACCATTCTGAAGTGCAGGGATGCCAATGCACAAGATGTTATGTGTGCTTTAACTGAAGCTGCTCTCAGATCTTCTCTAATTAAAGCATCCCTTCCCTTCCCCATCCCCAGAGCACACGTAAAAACTTCCTAACAGTAATTGGTGCTCAGAAATTAAAATGATTTGCTGAACATGTGTTAATTTGGCATGCTGTGTGGGCGCTCTTTATCCCAGTAGTTAGCCAATATTTGAGGCCTTACCATAGTATTTTTGCTAGACAGAGAAGTCAGATATTTCTTTGGTGCAGTTTTAAGAGAATACACAAAGCCCTGTTTTTCCTAAACACAGCAGAAACAAATGATAGCAGACCATTTTCATTTCCAGAAAATCCATTTCTGTCATCTTAGTTGTATCCTTCTTAAATAATTCTCTCTCTCGCTCTCTCTCTTTCATGCCAGGAGCACACTCAAACAGCTTTCCTAACTTTCTGTTGGTTTTCTAGTTGTTCTTTTTTTTCACATACACCCAGCTCCAGCCAGTGATGCATTTGCAAGCAGACGTCAGGGAGACCCATTTGCCCTCACTAAGCCTTTGCTCAGGTTCTGGCATGCTGGCTAGTGGTTTGGATAGTGGTTTCCATGAGCTTAGTCATCACCTTAGCAAGGGCATTTAATTGCTCCTCCATTTTGCTTAAAAACAATGTCAAGGACACTTATCAGTTTCAACCAGATCCATTTTGATGGCAGCTGCTAATAACTTACAACATAAGTGTCAAGACAAGAGCATGTGGGAGTCAAAATGAAACTCTCATCTCTACTTCTAATGAAGTAAGCCAATGAAAAATAGCTTAGGATGGTGTAAAATAAAAGCATAACTCCACACAGTCATGTGAAATGAGATATAAATTTGTAAGATCTAGCAGAAAATACTTTTCCTCAAGAATAGATTGATAGCATGGAAAATATATTTAAACCAGTATCATTTTGCATTCTGTTGGCTCAGAATAGTGGAGATGCTTTTATTGACTATAGGGCATTCAGAGGTCTGAGAGCCAGTGCTCTGATCTGGGACATCTCTGCTAAGTAGCCTGTATTGGAAAGCTGAACCTTCTTTTTTTTTTTCAATGGGGGTACCCCCTGCTCAAGTGTAAGTGCATATGGAACCACAATCAATCTACCATGGGAATACAAATCCTTTTTTTTTACAAATAGAACATGGCATTTAAGGGGTTCATAGAATGTTTACTCTGTCCAAAGTGTGAGCTTCCTTAATTTGGGTAGTTTTCTGACTCCCATATTTCCACTGTATTGGATTTGTACTAGCCAAAATACATATTTATCCAAGAAATGAATCTATTATCTCACCAAATTAAATAATATTCCATGGCATCATAACCTGGAATTCTGCTGCATTTTTAATTTTCAGCAATTATTAACAACCACTATGGCAGAAAACAAAAACCTCATGCAAAATAATGAGAAAAGTAAAAAAATATATATATTTCAGTTCCTCTACAAAAAAAAAAAAGTTCTCGTGTTTTCATGATTTACTAACAAGCAAAAAATGAAGCCATAACCATTGGAATGTTCTAAACCTTTTAAGGGCTCTGCTTATTAATTTTTTTGCCTGTGTATATTAGGTTTCTTTAAAGTTTTATCCTTTTAATTACAGGAGGAAGAACTGGAGGCCCAAATTTCATTTCTCCAAGGACAGCTAAATGACCTAGAAGCCATGTGTAAATACTGTGCAAAGATGATGAACACACATCTTGGTAAGTGAACTGCCTTGGGTATTTAGGCTGTAAATCTTTGTAAAGGCTCTTTCTGTGCTTGTACTAGAACTAAAGAATTACTAATGTAGTACACAGCTTATGGCTTTGCAAGGCTAGGAGTAAACTGAATTACTGTACCAGATGTTTCTAGCTATTCTGTCTTTCTACTTTCTTGCTTTTAAATATAAAATCTTTTAAGCCAATTGATGAAAGTATGGATAAAGAGCAGACATATTAGGACACATGGCATGTTTTTTCATTCCTAAGATTTCTTGTCTTCTAAAATGCATCTTACAAGTCATAGGTCATTTTACAAGTCCATCTCCAGTTCAGTTATCAGAGTGATCTTTGGTACATTAAGCAGCTATTTTAGAAAATCCAGTGCATAGTGATTACCTTCATTATATAACAACATATGTGTTGCCCCACTTATTTCAGGCAAGTTTTTGATCTCCTGTGCCAGTTCTTCCTCTGACATCATCAAGAGAAATTAACCAACACAGAAGTCAATATGTTTGGAGCAGGATCAGCGGTGGAAGTTATTGAAATTACATATCAGCAAAGCAAATGGCAGAAAAAACCTGGGGCTAGCCTAAGATGTCTGTTTTTAGCAGTGCTCTGATAAATGCTCTGTGTTAAAATCATTTTGAACCAGGACTTGTTATATTTAGTCACATTTCAGTGGAAAAAAGCACTGGTACTGCTGGAAGTAAAAACTTTACATCATTTAAACATTGAATCTTTTAGTTAATAGAGCTTTTTATCTAACTAGCAAGTTGGGAGACCATAAAGCCATATCATCCAAATGGTCTTCTCCCTTACCCCACTTTAAATGCCCATTTAATTTTAGTGGCCCTTATCTCAAAAACTAGCATAGCTAGAAAATAAGTATTTCTTTATAGTCTGAAATCATAGGTTTTTTTGACAGTACATTATGAACCTCTAATCTTAAAGGCCTGATTCTAATCTTAATTATGTGCGATTAGTATCATAGGTATAAGCAGACTGAAGTTATATGTCAGCTAAACCAACATACACGAGATCAAAATCAAGAAAGGGATATCTTTAAAATACTGAACTATTTGAGGGGGCAGGATGGGGAATACTTTATGACACGTTTAGTAGATTAGACAGTCCAAGTACAACCTAGAAACTTTTTCCAACCAAGGGTTCTGGACCAGACTTCAGAGAGAAAATCAAATGTATGTTCCTGAAGTGCCTCTTTTTCAGACATAGAAGCAGGCTCTGGTACTATTTTTCTGAGGCACAAACGCTTTTGCTGCTGTAACAACTCTAGCAACATCAGGAACTATGGTGCATTAGTAGGAGCATTGCCCGTAGATCTAGGGAAGTAATTATTTCTCTCTATTCTGCACTGGTAAGGCCGTATCTGGAGCCCTGTGTCCATTTTTGGCCCTCCCCACTATAGAAAGGATGTGGACAAGTTGGAGAAAATCCAGCGGAAGGCAACGAAAATGATTCGGGGGCTAGGGCATATGACTTTTGAGGAGCAGCTGAGGGAATTCGGTTTATTTAGTCTGCAGAAGAGAAGACTGAGGGAAATTGATAGCAGCCTCTAATTACCTGAGGGTGGTTCCAAAGAGGATGGAGCTAAGCTATTCTCAGTGGTGACAGATTACAAAACAAAGAGCAATGGTCTCAAGTTGCAGGAGTGCATATTTAGGTTGGATATAAGGTGGTGGAATCTCCATCCTTGGAGGTTTTTAAGGCCCAGCTTGACAAAGCCCTGGCTAGAATGATATAGTTGAGGATGGTCCTGCATTGAGCAGAGGGTTGGACTAGATGACCACTTGGGGTCCCTTCCAACCCTTATTTTCTATGATTCTGTGATTCTAACTGCAGTGGTCAGAAGTCTGCACAGACTTGTCAGACAAATATTGGTTAATTTTACCCCCTCAAGTTTTATCTTAGGCCAAAGTTTTTTGGTTTCACAATGCTGCCACTACTTCAGTTCTTTCCCCAGGTATCTACTTTTTTATCTACCCATGAGAAAGGACTTTTACATATAGGTTCACTTGAAACCTCCATCGGTTACCTCCCTTGCTCTGCTCTGCTCAGCCTGCTGTCTTAGATCTTGGATACAAGCTGTATCATTTCACACTGCCTTTACATTTCAAAAAGTCTCTAACCAAACATGTTTCTCATTGTCCATTGTTTCAGTCTCCAAACTACAATACTATGGAGCATAAGCCCACCCTTGACGACCTCTGGCTTTATAGAGAATTGATTAGATTTTAAGGCCACAAGGGAACATTAGCTATTTATTCTGACCTTCTGTATTTTGCATGCCCTTAGCTTTTACCCAGTTAACAAAAGAATTTCAGTCTGCAACCTGTTATGCTGCAAGTTGAACATAGGAGAGAATTAGGTTCCACTAGTGCCTGAGATCCCTGCAATGGCAGGAAATTTATTAGGTTAAGTGAGAAATGCCCAGATGATCCTAGCAGGTAAATCATGCCCCATGCTGCAGAAAGAGAAAAATTTTGAAGGCACCTGACAATCTGACCTGGGGGAAAATTCATTTATGGCCTAAAATCTGTCTTTCACTTTGACCCTGAGCGTGTGAGTGAGACCTATCAGCCACACATCTGAGAGAATTATCTGTGCTGCCTCCACACGCTGATCACCCCACGTGGGGTCCTATCACCAGTTGTAGCCAATTCCTTGATGCTTTAGAGGAAGGCAGAAAAATAAAATCCTGTTCTCTCTCTCTGACACATGAAGAGAGAATGAGCGGGGCCTTCATAGCCTCAGATTTGAACTATCAAGCCAGAAAATCACCACAATTCTTCCACCTCACCCCTTCCTCCCATGTACACAGAACATGGAGCATCTTGCAAAAGTTGGATAAAGTTCCAGTGTTTAATCGTGCTTTCTACTAGCATATTGCTTCTTACTTCAAGGTTGACTTTGTCTAGCTTCAGAGACCAAATCTTGTCATGCTGTTGGCAGCAAGGTTGAAAAGCCCTTGTTGTCACATGTAAGTACCTAACTACACGTGACCAAGCCATCTCACAACCTTCCTTTTGATAAACTGAGTAGTTTGAGCACATTAAGCCTCACATTGTATAGCTTGTTTCCCAGCCTGAAGATCTTTTGAACTCTGTCTAGTACATCCACATCTTTTTTGAAGTAGTGTCTCCATAGTTATTTTATTCTAAAATGATAGCAGTCTTGCTATATAAAGAAGCAAAAATCGAATCTCAGTTTTTATGTGATATTCATCCTCTTAAACGTCAAGAATTGCACTTATTGGCCAGAGTTATGCATTGAAAGCTCAGATTGATGTAACAATCAACAACCTGTAAATTAGTGATTCTCAACCAGGATGCCACAGCACCCTAGGGTGCCTTGAGATTTCTAGGGTGTCCCGTGGTATCATGTAATAGTAGCATTGTTAGATGTGCAGACATAATTCACAAGACAAACCCAGAGATTTCAAATAGATATCCATAATGTTGATGTCATTCTGACCTGCTGTGTTCTTTCTAAATTCTTTGTTCCATTATTTTTCTGTAATCAAAAGCTTAGTGAAAGCCAGGAGCTGGCATTTTCTGAGAGATGCCTTGAGTCTAGAAAGGTTGAAAACTACTACCATAAATCCTGAAACCCAAGACAATCTCATGCCATTTGGTATAATTTGTGTTTTTTATTCTCTATTCATTTCCTTGAACATGACTATTAAAATAGGCTTTTGGGATTGTGACCATTTAACAAGGCAACTTAAATTACTCAGTAACTGACTTGTCCTTTTCATTCCCTGCTACCCCATTAAGCTTCATGCTTCAAAAAGGTTTTCATTTCTAGCCGTGGAAACTTTGGACAAATTTCCACTGCCAGAAACTGTTCTGGGAGAGGGAGGAATACAAGCATTCATCCTGCAGCTGCCCCTCTCCCCACTGCACTGCATGCCCTCCCTGGAGATCAGTCTGGGAAAGGCATGATGAGGAGCAGGAGCCATTCCCCCTCTGCCCCCACATGACACGTTCAAAGTCTGCACCGACAAACCCCAGGAACTGAGCAAAGGGAAGAGCAGGATAAAGCTTCACACCCCCTTCCCCCCTTCCCCAAACTGGGGACTGCCTGGTTTAGAGAAGGAGGCAGGGTGCAGCTGATAATGCTCCCCTACCCTCCCAAACCAAACTCAGGGCAGGCGGAGCATACAAGCATTCACTTTTGCAAGCATGTGTCAACTTGAAAGATCTTTCTTGTGGAGGGGGGATGTTTCCCCATGGAGAAAATTAATGAAGGCCTGTATGCTTGTAGCTTCTAACAGGAGAGTGGTGATTCTCTTGGCAGAATTGTAATGCGTACATATGGTCTTTGTAGCATCTTCAGACTTCACCAGTAACAAATTTAGCATTATCTATATGAGGGGTTGCTCAAACTCTGGCCTGTGAGCCAAATGTGGCCCACAGAGCCATTGTATCTGGCCCACGGGGCTTCCCACAGGTCAGGAAATTTGGTGGCAGAGGAGCAGTGGCCATTGATACTGCCACCCTCCCCCATTGCCAGAATCCCATGCCCCTCTCTCCCAACCGCAAGATAGAGCTAAGCATACCCCTTCCCTCTGTACAGCTGAATCAGGGTTGGGGAATGCCCCTGCCCTCCATTCAGCTGGATTGGGGCTTGGCTGCCCCCTCCCTGCTCCATGCAGCCAGATAGGGCCCCTCCATGCCTGCTGTGGGAGCTGAATTGGGGCCACCAGCTGGATCCAGTTCACAGGGGGACCAGGCACAACCTATCCAGGCCCCTCCCCCTCGCCCCCCCCAGGAAAAAGGTTGAGCACCACTGATATAAATAATCAGTAAAAGTATTGAATAACATTATGTCAACAACCAGTTCTTAAGGAGCATATCAGAGAGAAACCCTGTCTCTGATACCATAAAATGCTTCTGGGGAGACATAACAGTGAATTACTAATCCATCTTATATGTGCCTTGTTAACTCCATAAAATGCAGATTTTAATCAAAATATA